ATTCACCAGCTCAAAAGCGGAGGTTAAACAGTCCGCCTAGAGATGGAATGCTCGCAACGATCAGTCGGCTCGCAATGGGTTGCAGTAGTACAACGATGACAACATACTTGGAAATCTGAAAGAGCGGCTGTAAGCCAATCCTGCAAATTTAGAAATCTTTCACAGAATCTCCCGGATTCCAGGATTTCGGCTAAAGGATATCTAAGTTTCTAAGGTAATTTGAAAGACCAGTGGGTTTCGCTCTATGCTTGACCGCAAAGCTGTTCGCTCCAGCTGTGCTCCATGACACCAATATGGCACTGTCCTGTGATCCATTGTGGAGTCAAATTCCAGTGCTTTGTAATGCATCCATTCTTTCTGTATCATCCTACCGTCGCACACACGTTTACCGAAGTAAAACTCGCTTCTCAGAAAATCTATTGACAAATTACAATCCAGCTGCGCTATCATGTTCCGAAAATAAAAAATGTCTGTTAGTCAGTAATGGTGCTCTACGCCGGTTGAATTGAGTTATCAATTCATCTTTTGCACAAGTACGTGACCACCGACTGCAGCGACAGTTGGTGTGTTACCTGGCGCAACCTAGAGTGCTGCTCGGTCGCCTGGAGTGCTCCATTCGGCAGGCTAAGAAATACTTGTTCGCTGACGAGTGGCTGGTTTAGTCGGCGTTGTATTGTCTTCGGAATTCAGGAGTACTGACTAAGCTTGGGAGATGTCACGTCAGAGGGTTATGGCATGCGTTTAATAACGTGTATCAACTCCGAATCAGATCAGAGGTAGCTCTCATCAGCGATGAAACCGAGATAACTTATAGATCGCCTGAAGAAAGTGCATTTTCTCGGGACGGCACCGTGGAACCCGTTCAAAGCGCTTAGAAAATTCGCCAGGTTTGGAACAGCTGACGATGAGTGTGTCAAGAGAGACAAAAATACTGCGGAAAATCACTCAACGTTGTACGGAGCTACGAGTGAGTCTAACTTTATCCAAAATGGCAGTCGGAATAACCGAAATAGGCCATGGTGTGTTATAACAATTGGAAGTTTTTCGGGTTTCGCGTGGACTCCAACCAGCTGGTAAGCCTCAGTCAATCCAATGCTGTCGGAATATTTACCCCAATATTTCCACGAACAAGTCTCCCAGAAGGCACATAAGAAGCGGGTGCGTACTTGACGCAGCATCGGAATTATGTTGTTGATATCGATATCAACAGCGTTGTCACTAGTTTAGTTTTGAAGTTCTCGCCTAAGGGCTTGTTCACCCGTTCTTAAGTCACATTAAGTCGTCAATTGCACCCGTTTAGATTATAATAGGCCGGTTGGGAAGCCTTTGCGCCCCACGCCGAACGTTGAGTTTTTGATGAATAACCAATTTCTGCAGCCGGTTTATTCTCTGGTTAAAAGTGTGCAAGTCTCTTGACGGCACCATATCTAGCAACTTGAAACCTGGCCCGGCATTTGAAAGGAATAAGGGTGGCCTCCGCTTTGGCTCACTTTCTAAATCCGTCGTCAATGGTGGGTGTAAAGCCTCGCAGCAGGTCTTAAGCTGAAAGCCTCAAAAATGGGATTCGTTTGAAGCACATCCGGGTGTTGCGCATGGCAGATTGCAAGATGGGTTTATATTCTTCTCCTATAGTTTAGGCTTGTTGAACCGGTCTACCTGCATGAGGGCAGGCTTTTTGCATGATTGCCACTCGTAAGTTGTGCTGTCAAAGCATTGAGCTAACAAACACACCGGCCAGTTTTGACCCACCGCCGAAAATTTGCGGGCCCGTCGTCGAGTCGTTTCACATGAAGTTCACCAATATGTTTAGGATGAAGCTTGACGTCGGAACCCATGTCAAGCAACAAACCAAATCTATTGTTTTCCGTTGCGTCACCGCAAAATTCCTTCGGCAAGCAAAAGTGAAACTCAGGTCACTGAGCTGGATCGTTATTAATAAGCGGCATGGTAGTTTGGTGGTAGCGCCGGTCTCTGATCCGGATGTAAATCTCGTTGATGCCTACGAGTGCACCTGGAAAATTTATGACCAACGAACCAGCCGCGAAGAATGAAACGTCGCTCACCGCATTGTGAAAATTTTGCTGGTCGTTTGCGCGCTTTTTCTACCAGGTTTGTTCTGGGAGTTCCATTGAGCGTTCCCAATTGCCTGCATGGACGTAAATGCCTGAAGCAATGTGTGATTGCTTGGTCCTGGCCTTCTGGTGCTTCCGGTTGACGTGTGATAGTGAGGCTGTCACGTCACGGCAGCATATTCTTAAATTCTGTAAAGCTTTTGCCGCTAGACAAAACCGTAGACGTGATACAAAAACTAAGGAACATGGGCTAATTATTTGCCTTTGAGCTGAGCCTCAAGCAGCTGCTTTACTGGTTGAGAACGCCCGTAAATTGGTCGTTTTTTCATTGGCCTTCAGGACCAGGCTTTTGCACTGGTAGCGAATAATTGATAGCGACGTTTGGCCACCGAATAACTATGACAGTTTTTTAGCCACTTCGTCAAAGATGATATAGTGGGCAGTTTGGTGTGAGGAAATTTCGTACACCTTCGAGACTCCGGTTTGCTGAGTTCTTCATATGTAATGGAACTTGAAAAAATAGCTTCAAACCTATCTTTTATTCCTTACACGGGGATAAAAAATCTTACTGTAACGGGGGAAAAGTTAAACGTCGTTGTTGAGGCCACAGCTCCATTGACCGAAGGGACAGAGGGACTGCTGATATTTGCTGCTCATATTTGGATATGAAGTCTCTCATTTAGTGGTCCGACGAGTTTCATTTGTGCTATTTCAAACTGCTTTTTTGCCGTTGCATTAGGGCTCGGAGCTTAGTAAACTAAATATAAGATTTGGAGTCCCATCCCCGTCGCCAAATGCACTAATGGTTGTATCTGAGCACAGTTCAGGGTCTGCCACTCCCAAATTTGAGTTCGGAGCAAGTGAGACAGGTGCGCATGGTATCAAGCGCTGAAACCATACAAAAGCACCCCAGTGCGTATTTAATATATTCAGCGGAAACGCTAGAGTTTCAGGCCCTTTCTGGGAGATTAATTTGATTTCGCTATTCGGCGGAGGCTGAAGCATGAACAATTGTCTGATCCACATCCACAGTCATTCAGAGCTTAACCTGTTGCTGGACCGGAAGCGTCCTGAAGCTTTAACCAATCAGATGCAGGTTCAGCTCTGTGCCGTTGCGGCGTCTAATCGCGAGTGTTAGGGGGGTGGTGGTGCGGGTTTCCAATTAAAATTGGTGCCAATAAGAAGGTTCCTGCTGTTCACAACAATATCACAAGTCAGAAGACTATGCTTTACTCCCTGAAGCGTAGGTTCAGACCAACCTTCAGTAGCCAAATGGACCATTGAGCAAGTCGTCACTGGTTGATGCCTCACGAAACCCCTATGAACCGCTGCCTTGTGGTTCAGGCTTTTGATTCAGCGTTTACGGCCAAGATCTCCGAATAAAGTCCGCCTCAAGTGTCAGGCGTTCGAGTTAAAGACGAGGGTGGGTACACCCACTAAATCACATTCACTGATTCCCGGAGTGGTACACAGGATCGAAGCTTTCTCCCAATTTTACCGGGTCAGTCTTGTTTATGCTGTTCAGCGGCTGCCGTTCACCTGAAAGTTAAGCGAAAACAGGGTGTATCACTATTAGTTAAGTCCTCAGCGCGCGAAAGTAAGCTTGCCAGCGCGAAGACTGACGCGTCAGTTGTTTACGCGTAAACAAACGTCCAATATTGCCTTGAACTGGGTACTAGGTATAGCGTTGACAACCGTCAAAGGAGGGTTGCCCCATACGGCAACCACCCGAAATGAGGAGTAAATTTGCCTGATAAAGTTGTGCGATCTGAGCTTGAAAAACTTATCACATCTTTGCGGTGTGTTGAGACCTCTTCCAGAAGATCCCTAATCCCTTTAGGTAGCCTTTGGTCCATCCGACTCCGCGCTGCTTTTTTGGATCAAACATCGCGTCAACCGCATGAATTGTTTTGGAAAATCCTGTATAGCGCTCTCAGTGAATCTGGTCCGAATTTGAATTGGTCAAGAAAGCTACGCATTTCCGAGTGGTCCACGACAGAAATTCCGAGCAAGCGGGACAAGCTCCTCTTGCACTCACACTGGACTCGCTTAACATTGATGCGTACTGTCTCTCAGAAAGGGGAATTGAAGATGCAAGCACAGTGAGCTAACCGCTCCGTCAGTCTCCATTCGCTTCCGGCTGCGCACCTCTGGTTATCCAGAAACTGCTGCGGTGGGATATACAGGGGTTGGTATCGAGCTAAGTCACCCGTCGGAAGTATCCTTGCTTGACTGGATACCTGTTGATGGTCCCCTCTGTGCGGTTCGCCTGTGAAGGTGTCTCACGAGCGGGAAGTTGATTGATGTCCGTTTATTGGGTCTGTCTGTGCCCCAGTTGACTGTAGCTCCGACGCCGTCAAACACAGGTTTAACGACTGAATGCCCTGCCGTTGCGATCTAAAAGCTCAGGCATCGTGATGGTTGCTGGAGATTCAAATGCACAAATGGGCAGGTTAGTATATCTGAGACTCAATTAGGAGGTCGACGTGGACGTAGGGACAATGGTGAATGATTGCTTGAGTTGTACGCTGATCACAGGCTGTTTTCATGCAGTACCGAATTCCGAAATAGCCGAAGTCGTCTGGTCACCTGGTGTCTTCCAACGGCATGCCGGCCACAAACTCGAGCTCATTGCCATCAATAACTGACTGCCGGTCGTTCTGGAGCGCATTTGTGGATTCTGACCACGCATTCGTCCGGAGTCGCTTCTTCCTACGCTCCCCTAGTCCTCGTAAGATGCAACTGAAAGACTGGCAGATCCGGATGTTAGACGAACTTACCAGAATCGTCTTCTAGTCTCCTTCACATGATCCACCATCATATGTGAACGAATACTGGGACGAGATTGCCACCTGTCGCAGTGCTGGAAATCTTTCCTGTGGCACGGCTGAACCAGACGCATGCAACCACTGGATATCAGACCGAACGATGGCATTGCTTGAATCTTACAGAAATGTCCCAGCCGACCCCGAACATAAATTGAGGCGACGAATTATCAGGCGTCAAGTGAAGGTGAGCATGCGAGCCGACCGTGAATTATGGTGGACACAGAAAGCCAAAGAAATTGAAGAGGCCCAGAAAGCCGGTAATGCCCGAGGGTTATTTGAGTTGATCTGTGCGACCGATCCCCGGAAGTCACCTGTTAGCGAAGCCATTAAGCATCAGAATGGAACGCCCATCTTGAATAAAGAACGCCTCGACTGGTGGGCTGAATACTTCTAACAACTGTTGTGGCCACCACTGGCACTCATCGAGAGCCCACAGGTGAAGCACAATCCTGGGCGGTGAACGTGGAACCACCTACGGTCTCAGAGGTCTACAACTTGATATGTTCTCACAAGCACTACCGAGCTCCTGGTCCAGATAATCGCCCACCTCCATTGTTCAAAGACGGGAGTGAAGTCTGGAATCAGTGCTTGTCTGATCTTTTGGCTTGCCTTAGGGAAAAGGAGTCTGTTCCAGACAACTGGGAAGAGTCGGCGATAGTGCCCATTTTCAGAAAAGTGGCTCTTAGAGAGTGTAGTAACCACAGGGGGATCAGCTTGACCCCTGTCTTAACGAGACTTGGCGTCAGTTGTGCTTCGTCGCCTTGTGGTGGCTCGTGAAAACTTACTCAAGAAGAGCAAGCGGGATTCCGGCCTGGTAGGGATTGCGTTGACCGGATCTTCACACTTCATCAGGTGCTAGAACAACGCCATACGTACAAGCGACTCACACTTCTAGTGTTCCTGGATTTCCAATGCACATTTGACTCGGTTGACCGGTCTGTTCTGCTTGACACGTTTACCCACCCAGGAATGCGCCGGAAGTTTGTAAACATAATACGTTCTTTGTATTCTCAGACTTCCGGACGTGTGAGAGTATACGGGGGGCTCTCCAAAAGCTTCCGTACACAAAGCAGCGTCCGTCAGGGATGCCTACTCTCTCCATTTCTTTTTAGCTCCGTGATCGATGGGATAATGAGACGAACGCTGGAAGGATTCCCAAACCATGGTGTTCAAATAGCCTGTGAAGAAAAACTTGGTATCATTCTCATCTGGGAAGAGGAGAAGGCGCAGGTGTTTTGGATGGACTGACCAGTCATCCCGTCCTTTGGTGTGCACTTTGCACCCACAAAGTGTAAGGTCGTGTGGTGGATGCGCAGTCACTGAACACGCCACTTACAATCCAGGGAAAGGTACTGGAAGTTGTGGAGCGTTCCATCTATCTTGATTGTAGTGTGACAGATGAGGTGAATACACGAATCTGCAAGGCTCGGGCCGCGTTTGCTAATTTGAGACACCTATGGCGTCAGAATGGTTTATCCCTGAATCTCAAGGGACATGTGTATCAATCTGCAGTTCGGGCTGTTTTGTTGTACGGCTGTGGGATGTTCGAGCAGAGGAACTGAGACGTTTTCAGGTGTTCGACAACCGTTGTCTCATAACCTGAGCTTGTGTGGGTTGGTGTTTGCAACGGGTAATTCCATTGATGAGTGTGACCAGAAGCTGCATTGGTTGGGACATGTGATGCCTATGCTTAACCATCATTTGCCGAAGAGTGCTGTTCTCCATGCCCAGCTCAGAGTGGCGTAAGCAGAGAGGTGGCGAACCCTTGACTTGGCAGCGGGGTATGAAGGATATTACGAAATGCTTGGGCGCTGTCGGTGCTATTTGCCCTCCAGGATGGGGACCGCGTAATCTCCACTGCGCTTGGTTGGAGACACTATAAGATATAGCTGCCAACCGATGTCGGTTGTTGTCAGTTTCTATCCAGATTGCCTGAGTGACTGTCTGGAGGTGTAGGCATCTTGGACTGATTGTAGTAAGCTAGTACTAAGTCCCTCCCCCGTCCACCTTTGTTTTTTTCTGTACAATAAGACTCATCCTGGTTGTACGGCATTAAGGCATCGGTGTTGAACACTGATGTCGTGCCGTCGACAGGGACGATGATGATGATGATGATTAGGTGGAGGCTTGCACTGGACTGTAGTTTCGCTCTTCTGTGAGCTCATCGGCAGTACGTATCGCAGGATACTTACTAGGTAGTCGTTTGAATCATGAAACAAACCGACCACATCAAGCATGAACACGTTTGCCTGTTCGAGTCTGATAATTCAGATGTGTCCAACGTGCACACATGTGGCAGTGATACCGCGCTTGCCTCGCATCTTTCATATCCGGAGTGGAAACCCGAACGCAGTCAAGGATATGCAGTGCTGACGAGCTCTAAGAGGCTCGAGACTGGGTTGGTGTAGACTCACCAGGATAGCTAGTCCAGACAGTGACAGGACCGTTAAAACAAATTTGATATGAACGTGAATTCTATGCATTCCGCAACCACCTGCAGGTAAACTCCACTTAATTGGCAACCTGACACGTGCTTTATGTTGTCCATATGGAAAGACTGCTGTCACCGCAATTAACGCTTGTTTATCAGTTCATCCTTGTTCAGTCATCATCATCATCATTGTCCGCTGTAAGAACCAAGTACTCGTCGTACACTGGTTGTAGCTGCCGCAGTTTCGTTCACCGATGGTGAACTTTGCTTAAACGGGTTATCATCGACGACACTTCGGGTGGCCGTAGCGTGAGAACTGGTTCACGGGACATTTAGTGGTACCCGTTGAGGTTAATGTTTTCAAGCCTGGTTGTAGTGCCGCAGTTTCGTTCACCGATGGTGAACTTTGCTTAAACGGGTTATCATCGACGACACTTCGGGTGGCCGTAGCGTGAGAACTGGTTCACGGGACATTTAGTGGTACCCGTTGAGGTTAATGTTTTCAAGCCTAGAGGCACCCATGGGAATAGTTGTTGGCTATGCTCTGTTGCGCTCTTTGGTTTCAGCGGACCGGGAAACGTCCAGGTCCATTCGCTGTCAAGTTTTCTGGAGTACATGTTGGCTTCAATATATTCAACCCATCTTTTTTATCCGTAATTTCCGACCGAAGTCTAAGGTCAATAATGAAACTCCGTAAGTTTTTCCTCTCTTTCTATTTCATGATATATATATCATGCTTTCCTGTTTGGCTGTTTTGGCTCGTTACGTCGATCTGTTGTGGCTTTCTCAAGCTGCACTGCCTGTGGTTTGGTTCACCCATTCGCTCTAAATATTCCCTGGTATTCTGCTTAGGCCGGTCATTTTGTCAATTCACTGCAAGTTTTCACAGACGATGGGCAAATTGTAGTCCGGTTTTGTTGGGAACATCAAAATTACATGGGTTCATTTATTGAACTGAAAAAAAAATCATCTACGAGCCTGTGGGTGAGACAGTAGTTTGTCTGGTGGGCATTCGTTTGGATAAGGCTGTAAGCTGGTCCAAGTGATCAGAGCCTGTGTCTTATGTTTAACTTAATATCTATATTTTCAGTGCGTATTGCATCTTATTGATACTGTCATATATGCCTCCAATATACATACTGCAAATTGACGGACATGAATGCATAAGGGTATTGCTGACCTGCAGTGAAGCATCAGTGTTGAACACTGATGTCATGCTGTCGATGATGATGACGATGATGACCTGCTTCTATCATCTATACTTGTATTTTGCATAAGTTTAGCGTAGACCTCGTGGTTGGTACCCTACTTCAGTTTGTTGAGGCAAAATCGCGTGGAGAGATGCCTGATTTCTTGGACTTCACGATCTGTAGTGGTTCGCGTGCTGCAGGCATTGCAATACTCCTGTGTATCGTAGTCATTTTCCATTCAAAAGCTCAATCGGGTGTGGATTGGAAGGACAAAGGCAAACGCCTGCTACAGTTATATGCTGATTACAGACTATTTCTATGCAGTACTGACTTGCGAAGCAACTAAGGCTGCTAGGTTACATGGTGGTCGCCGCGTGTTAGCCATCCTCTGACGTAGACAGACGATGTAGTCGTTGGCCATAAGTGGCGTAGGTCACTTACTGATTGCTACTTGTTCTGGAACACCCATGTGTATTCGGATCGCGCGCTTGTCCGTTACTGCTTTCTGTTCAGTTCTCCAGTTGTTTGGTCGCAGTTACCGAATACCCTCAGAGTTATCCTTGGATCTGAAAGTTTGGAAATACAGATCGTTTTAAGTAGCTTACAAAATCGGATCGTTTAGCTGTAGCATCTTTTCGGTGCCTAGCTGCCATGCCATCCGAAGGAAGCACGAGGGCTGAGATACTGCCAGGTTGCCGAAGCTTAGGCAGAGGAGGTCGAGACGCAGAGGTCGGATTTGAACCACAGACCTTCCGATTAGTAAATTCGCGCTCTAACCACAGCCATCTCGCCCCCTGAGCTTAAATGGTTCTGTGACAAGGCATGAAAGCTACTACTAGTCAACTCAGTCGAGTTGGTAACTGTCGTCCCCTCGGATGGGGACGTCGGGACGAAAGATATTGAGGTTGAGTTCGTAGAATTTGTGCTCACCACTCTTATTCGAGCAGCTTTCCTCCCTTTCTTTACTCCGATTTCCATGAACTGAATGTGTTCTCCCCGCAAAATGAGTCATCAGTGTCTCTTCACTGAGATATCTATTTGATGAATTGACGATGTGGGTTGTTAAATTTTGTAGCCGTATATTTGAATTCCCACGAGTGGATGTTCAGATTCCTATATGGGGTTAGTTGTTGCATAGAGGTTTGAATAACAGTCTCCTAATCCTCGGCGTTCGATTTTGGAGCATGTTCGCTAACATGATCGTTAGAAGTTAGGCTTTGATAGCATTGGGCCGAACTCCTGATTTGCTGTTTGGCCTTCGAACTTAAATATTTGGCAGCAAAACCCAGTCATTCTGTATGAGTCTGTTCGTCCTGGTAGTATCGTGGTTCACGTATAGTCATGAATTTCACGATCACAGTTAACCTTATACAAGGTCGGTTATCGTGTGACATCAGTCAGGTTGCCGTATTCATCATGGCCAGTAAGGTGGAATGGGCTAATTCTGATGCCTCTCTTTTACATGTTTGTATGTCCCACCTCACCACATATAATTGAAAGTGATTTGTTTTTAGATGAATAAATAAAAATGACGTACTACACTTTTCTTAGATGCAACATCTGTGCACTTTTTGACCACCATAACTTCTGGTTCCGTGAGCTAAGTTTCCGGACCCCGGTTCGCAGTTTTTTGACTGAATGTAACTTCCACACCTTGAAACAAGCTCGATGGCAGGCCATATTTCCCTAGTCTGTGTGGAGTGTTAGGGCGCTGACACACGACCCTGATTCTCCATAGCTCCAAGAGTGTATCTGGGTCTGTTGACGGACACGCTTCTTTAACCACATTTGTGCATCAAACCCTACCGCAAAGGATCATGGAAGTCAGAAAGATATACCTTTGAATCGCAAAGGTCGTGTGCAGATGTCCAAAGTTAGTGTTGTATTGTTCTATGGTTGCGTGACGCGGGCACTGTGAATGTGAGTTGTCTTTGACCGGCTATTTGGTGGGGCATCTGTTGCTCCCCTTATGGAACGTAACAGTCACTGCTGGCCATGTGTTACACATACCGAGTTATTGTTTACACAGAAGGGTGCCGTTCCCACGCCAACTTCGGAGTTACGCAACGTAATAGGTGGGCAGAAGAAAGCAAATAATTATGAAAGATATCTGCCTTCCAGGAAAGGATTCCCGTTATCCTATCTGTGATGGACTAGAAGCGTAGCAAGTAATGACCTCCAGTCGATGTTGGAGTTTTTGCCCTTAGTTGCCATCTGGACGCTTGAAGGCGTGGACATCCCGGATATCCCTGGTGGTCTAGTTCCAGGTCACCTTCCCATTCCTATTTATCATTTTGTTCATTCTGGTACTTAATTTAAGCAAAATTGTATGACTTCGGATAGTTGAGCCACAATTCCTTTAAGCTGTTGATGATAGCATTTTCACGTGACCCTAGACCAAATGGACAGTACATTTCACGTGATAGGAGCCGTTCTACCAAGTTCTCATAAATGACGTTTATTCGTCGTATTTATTCTGAAGTCTGTCACGGGTGCGTTGATGTAGATGATCTCTTTCACCCGAGCTAGTAGTCTTACATCCTCTAGGATCCTAACTGTTTCTTGAAGAATTTAACATGCTTTGTGGAGATTATTTTTGCATGTGTACACGAAGGGACATTGTCACACTGGAAGCTTGACATAACACAGCTTCATCTACACCGGAATAAAACTCACTCTTCTAGTTTCGGGACTTTCATTCTCCTTCCGCAACGTGTTACGGAAAAACCTGGAGTAGAAAATGATGTAATCCGTGAGCACTTGAGCAAACACTGTGCTCTGCATTTGGTATGTCTGGTTGTACGGCAGTGGAGCATCGGTATTGGATACTGTCATGCTGTCGATGATGATTTTTCGTACTATCAGACCAGTGCTTCTTCACCAGATTAGTCGTCCTCAAATTCGTAAACCTATGTGATCCGCCTTTATCCCGGCATAGTTAATTTGTTGACCAACGATTTATCTCAATCACTCTGTCTGCAGCATAAAGTACGGAGAATGTTTTCTCTCACTTAACCACTAACCTTAGAGTGCGCTTTGTATCACCAAAACACAGTTCTGTCCCAGTGCTAAATGGATGCACTATACAACCTAGCTACTGCGAACCGGGCTTCGGAGTTGCTTATAAAGTTCACCAATCTAAGTTGTTGAATCACTGCTGTCGCCAGATTCCGTGAGGCCTGTTCGGTCTTTTTCCAGCGTATTCGTTTATGGAGGCGGTTTGACAGTAGCCCAGTGGCGTCGCCTTGCGGCCTGTTTTGTTGTGTTCGATTAGTCTGCCTGACGAGGAGACAAAAGATTACTAATCGCTTCTGACCTTCGGTGTTTATGCAGCCTTGTACGCGTGTAGTAGGAGTACGGCGATCATGAATTTTGTTGGCTAGAGACTGCTCACACGGTTGGCAGCTCAAAAATGGAACAGAAAGTCCCAGCGTTTACAACCCGTTGTTGCACAACTACCTATTCGAACAACTGGTCTGTGTGCTGTTCAGCCTTTACCAACTTCATGTGTTAGTCGTCCGGGCAACCAATTCACTCAGCATTTGACGACCCATTGTTCAAACTACGGTATCACTAGACAATGCATAACATTTAATATTTTTTCCCCGTTTTTCAAGGTTGCCTGCTCACTATCGGCAAACGGTATATGACAAACGCTGCCCCAAGCCCGAAGCAAGCGACTGATTTGCTCAGTTTGAATCCATTGGATTCGCCCGATTACTTCAGTTTGAGAGATCTAGTAACCACTCGAGAACTGTTTCATGCTCGGGCGCATCTTGGTCATCGATCAGTTTTGCGAAACGAGTACATGATTCCTTACATTTATGGCTGCCGACAGGGTGTCGACATTCTGGACCTCGATCAAACAGGGCCTCTGTTGTTTGACGCGTTGAATTTTACGGCGCACATTGCCTATCGCAAAGGAATTATTCTTTTCATTAGTGACAACCAACAGGTAAGAGTGTTCTATAGTGTCGAAGGGCTTGTTTTGTGGTTTGGTATCATGTCTGCTGTTCGGATTGCGTTTACAGTTCGATGTAATAAAATCTGTAATGCGCGTCACTTTTCAGAAAAGCACCAAGTTGATCTCAGATCACATAGATTTTGCGGCATTCCTGACAATGCATTTGTGCGACTTACTCTTGCTAGGGACACTCAATTTACGGTGTATCTCGGGTGTATAGTTCGAGTTTTTATGTATGACTTGTTCGTTTTTCTGGGTGTTTGATTGTTCTTTTTTGCCTGAGGAATTCAGCTCAAATGTTACCCATTTCGCTAGGCGGCACTCGTAGCTACTTACAGCTGTTCATGCACCAGGACTCGTTTGGTCTTCAATTGCCTGTTCCTTCTGTACAGTCCATACGGCAACTGATGAGTGTATTTCATCAATACTGTACAATGCGGGATTCAAGTACAGCATACAAGTAGTGACAACTCGGATACTACGCCTCTTAAAGGGCCGAGACCATAGGTGGACTGTCAGAGCTTTCAGTGGCATATCCCGATCACTTCGTTTCGTCTCGACTTTTGGGAAGTGAAGCTCTTGTTCATCAAGTAGAGTGAACACGCAGGTTTCTGGATCATGTACTGGTCGCACCTCAAGAGTGTCGAGTGGTGTCATTGTTTTGAATCTTCATATTGACTGTGTTTAGTCGAAGATTTGCTAGTCACTGTTGAATGGATGGCGAAATTCGAGATTACTGAACCTGTACAGTCTGATGTGGAACTAGGAAAGGAACTGATTTCCGCACATTAACTTGGAATTCCGCTAACTACGTCTGTTGCGATTTGTTTGCATTGATTATGTGACTTGCAGTGACATACAGTACCCGTTTTACCTTGTTTCTCTCCATATTATGAAGTCCGCATTTTTATCTCCGTAATTCAAGTAAATGCCACAAAGTGTGAATGTGGAGCAAATGTTCGTCAAGAGAAGACGACCTTACCGTGGGGAGCTATGCTGGGGAGTACATGTGTGACACTCACATAGCCTCATACTAGATTGGTCATTGGGTAGAGGTCCGACTACCTGGTCCTTTAGAGTGAGAGTTGGGACACGTGTGGCGATTCGCTCCCTAATAATATAGGCCGTTCTGACAGCCTTATGCCGACTACGGCTGCCTTGCGATCAGGCTTTTGAGCCAATGTGTTTCTATGTATCTCTCGGGTCCAGCATGTTACCCTAGTATGTGTGAACCACGGATATCCAAGAGTGATGCCTATTTGTCACATTCCTTTGAGACGAAGTAGGGCATTCCATCCCAGTCGCGCACGAAAGCTTTCGAAGAACGCCGGGATGTGAATGAGACTTCTCTAAGGTAGTCCAGAGATCATGCGAAACGTTGCTCAGTGACACCGCGCCGAATGAGGTACTCAGTTATGATTACAGTCATGGAGCGATTGACCGAATTCGACAGACCGCGTCAGTAGCAGAGTATTTTCGTGTCGTATCATAATCATTACTGGTGTACAACCACTTCAATTTATTAGAATAATGAATGGTAGAAAAAGACCTGTGACAGTGATTGTTTCCGAAAGATGGGGTTGCATTTGTGGATTCGTTTACGGTGATTTGGAAGGTGGAATAGAACAGCGGGATTTTCGAGTAGGAGATAGAGCTCACGCACAGTTTATAAAATTTTTAAAGCATATGGACTGGATATAGCCAGTAATTCATACCGAGTGTACTTTTTGCTGTTTATTTTAGACGCTCCCCTTAGTGGAACGGACTGCACGTAACGTCGGAGAATTTTCCTGCTGTCGCAAATGGTACACTGGTGTGTTTACGGACACAAAGAATTTTTTCCGCGGTGCTGTGAGGCTCCCAGACTTGGTTATCTTTCTGTCCACGCTCACTACTTTAGCGCAACCACACATGGCCGTTCGCGATGCAGCAAAATTGCTTATACCCTCCGTAGGAATAGTGGACACAAACGCTGATCCCCGTTTGATCACTTATCCAATTCCTGCGAACGACGATAGCCCAGTGACAACTCGACTCTTTTGTGCTCTGTTCGGTGAGGCAATTGTTAGAGGGAAACGTCGTGCTGCTCGAGATGCAATGGTACAAAATTTGGCCGATGATCGTACATCCACCACCGAACCGCTCTTACCGTCAGCTAACAGTGTATCAGATGAACTCGTATGACCCTGCATTGTCCCCACCCTTGCATTTGGCGCCCTGCTGTACATAATTTGGCCCCGGATTGATAGTTTTTCATTCAATCTCTCTGGCGTCCCTTTCTATAAAAATGAACAAATATAGTTTAGAGAAAAAAACACTAAATAAATTGGTCTTCCAGCCCGGTTTCTTAGTACTTAACCGAGGATCTCCCGATCTCGGGATGTTTTGGCAGATAATCAACTTAATTTTTCAGCTAATTTCGAACAAACAGTTACGAATTTGGGTCCAAATAAAACATAAGGTTGACGGAAACTCGGGAACTGCGCCTACCTGATGAGCCCCAAGAAGGACGAAACCGGTCGTGGGCTGTCGAAGAGTTCTCAGCAGCCTTGTGAGTAGTTTCCTTTATGAAAACAGTTACCATGTTTTACTTGGAAGGTGACAACAGCATAATTGATCGTACAGTCTTCTATCGAGTTTAATTAGGGCTTCGTTTAAGTACGCTATTACGGGGTAAGCTCCGTCACGAAGAGACTGGACCTTAGTGACAACAGTTGATCGTACAGTCTTCTATCGAGTTTAATTAGGGCTTCGTTTAAGTACGCTATTACGGGGTAAGCTCCGTCACGAAGAGAAGAGACCTTATCGTGGTGTGGCGGTTTGTGTACCTCGGCGACCCATTGAGCTATACTGGAGGGTGTCCGCGCGACACTCACAGAGTCTCTCATACCAGGTTGGTCAGTGGTTAGAGGT